TCCTTCGATTTCGTTTTCAAAATCGTCCCATCTATTATTACTCTTCAATAATATCGTCTCGTTTTTAAGTCAACTAAGCCACCATGCCTAGTGATCTTTCAAAAGTTGACCAAGCCAGCATTATTTGGTCATTGGATTTCTCTTTTCCTAAAAAGGGAAAAGTCCACATTATGTGGTTGAAATTTTAAAGGAACTTTGAGAATAATAATTCCCCGCCTTCATACATTGCATCCATTAATTGCAAGGAAGATGAAACAAATTCATTGACTTAAGAAACCCAAAAAATCAATATTAGTATTTGGTATTTATTTATTGATTTTTTGGACACATTTTTAGTATTAATTGGTATTGAAAAATAAAAAAATAATATTTATTTAATTAACTATTTAATTAAAATGATTTACATAACATAGATAATGAAATTAATATCAAGATTTATCAATTTTAATATTAATTAATATTAAAAAGATGTGTTAATTACATGACACAAGTTATAAAAGAAAACTCTTTATTTATTTATTTTATTTGGTTTTCTGATTTTGGGCTTTTATGTTAGGAGAGGGACAATGTGCTTGGCTGCCTGTCCGATTCCTTTGGGTCAATGGACAAAAATGTAGGTTGTGGGCCTGTTGGTGTTGAAACTTGAAAGGGTTTAGTCAAAGTCCAACAAAATGAAAAGTCCAAAGAGTTAACGCCCAAATATCAGTTTCTCCAATGTTTGTGTTAGGCTTCGGCCCAACCCGGAAGTTGCTGTAAGCTCAATGATATTCGACGACTGGCCAGCACTATCATTTTCCATCGAGTATGGTGCCCATCGTCAAGATAGAGCCACACCGTACACTGAACATTAAGGCAAGCGATCCAGTCTCTTATGACGTTAAAGTTTGCACCTTTTTGCCCATCAATGAAAGCAAAGCAGCTTCCTTTAACCATCTTCTTTTTTAGTTCTCTTGGGGTTAACAAATTTTGCAAAAGTTATCCCAACCCAGTTAGATTTGCAATTCAATACCATGATTAGAATTTCCATATTACTAGTTTCTGCTCTTATAGGTGTGGTTTGATTGCTTGAATAGCTAAAATCATGTTTGACTTAGGTCCTTCAGATAATTATTGTGATGAATTTCTTCAGTTGGATTTTCCTTTTAGTTGATCCTTTTTAATTGTTGCATAAGGGTGTTCAACGGTAAAATGTATACATATATTAAAAATTGAAATTTTTTTGGTATTTTTAAGGAAGAAAAGAGAAATTTTGTTGGTACTTGGTTGTTGGTAGTGTTTTTCATATTGTTGGATGGATTTTCATTGTGTTTTTACATAGTTTCATTGGCTTCCATTAATTAATGTAGTTCCTAATGTTATTATGCACTTTATTCACTTTTGCGTTAAGTAAAGAACATGTATCAACGGCAGCAAACATATGCTGATCATCAAAATGTAAATCCATTTGTTGCTTCTCAGATGGAGCACACATTTGCTCAGAGAAGGCAGCCCGGTGCTGGAAAGAATAGTTTTCCTGGATGCCTTTCTCTAGAGGAACAACATTTATATAAACCTTCCAAGTTAGAGAGGCAATGGAAGTGGGGATAAGGATGCATCAAAAGTATTGAATCAAATGCCTTCATATTCATTCAATTAAGGTAAGTAAAAGTAACATTTATTATGAGACTCCTGGGGCATTGGTTTTTATGAATAGTGCATTTAGATTGATAAGAATTGCCAAGTATTTGAGGGGATTGAATGTTTGTATGGAGTTCAAAGTATCTGTCTTTTTACCACTTGTGCATTCGAGCTAGTAGTGGCTTTCTAGTGGCCCTTCCTAGTTCTTTCTTTATTGTAACTTTTTACAAGTGCAAGAATTGAAGAAACAAAAGAGCAGAAGTACACTATAATCTAGAAGGCTTTTTATTGTTTTGCTTTCTAGATACGAAACAATGAAATTTTAAGGATTTTCTTTAGCTGAGCAATAACTTGTATTAGATTACAACTAATTATCCTACTAGATTTGATATCAAAATCTTCTAATCCAACTGACTTCTTACAGATGCCTTGGTCTTTACCTTGCTAGCTGTGGTTCCAAAGTCTTTTATGATTCTATAAAAGCTTATCATGATAGAACTTAGTAGTTTTGTTCTTTAGCTTATGCCTTCTAGCCTTTTTGTGTTTCAGCCAATTGAAGAAAGTTTGACTTTTTCTGCAGGTGCTACAAGTGAAGGGGACTATGGTGCAAGGTCCCCTTATCATGGGTAGGTGCCAAACTCTTTTGATGGTCTAGCCAATAAAGAAAATACCATGCAGACTCAGGAGCAAGACATGGAAATTGGCTATGAGGATGGCCCATCACCATCGGTCCATGACCATCAACTTTTGAAGGTCTTGAAAGAAAATTCCATGGTGAAATTATGCAACTTGTGAAAGAACAGTGTGATGAAGAGGATGCAGAGAATGTGAGGCACTCGGTATTTTTATGAAATAAGCAATAACTAGTTAACATCCTCTTCTCCTGCTATATAAATGTATCATGTATGTACCTTACTTTCCCTTGCATCTAGATTCTAGAGGTTGAAACAAATGGGAAGAAAGAGGAAAGGTTTTTGTTTATCATTTCCTTTCAACGAGAACAAGAGGAAAGAATGTATCGGTAGTGTGATTCGTATTATATAATAAATTAATTATTGAAAGTATATGTAAACCTTAGAACCTGCATCTAATTATGAAATCTTTGGCTAGTGACAACTATTCTGCCATATGCTTTTTAAATGTTTGACTTTGCACTTCGAGCCCAACATGCTAGTCGAAGGGAGGAGTTCCTTTGCAAAGAATCACAATCATGGTTATATCGATACCAGCTAGCTGAAATTAGCCACTACCAAAACTCTGCTTGCAAGATACATGCGGATATGTTACCTCAACAGTTGCAACTACCAGCAAGGAAACAACATGCCAAGGTTATGTCCCTTGTCAGTTCAAGTTTTACAGAGACTAACCTCAATATGTTGCAGGCAGGACATAAGGAATGGAAGCAAGGGTTCCATATCCTGAAGGCCGTGTCTACAATGGCAGCTCCCGTTATTACTAAAGAGATATCTCAAGTCCATACACCATTCCCATTCTCTCTGTGTCAAGGCTCTAATCTGGTAATACCATACATAATTAACAACTTTTGAAATATCCACTTTTTGACCTTTCTATCAATGAAGCATCGGTAAGAAGGCAATATTAGGTATCAAAGGCACTTTATGTATACTCAAAGGTAACGACAGAAACAAGGAGAAAAATTTCCCTTTTCTAAGAAAAATCAACTATTCAAACCATCCCACATTGCATGACAGTACATATTAGTTAACCCCTTTTTGTTTAAGTTTTGTAATTTTTTTAGGGCAAAACCCATGTTAAGTCTTAAATTGACTCTATATTCTCAATTTTGCTTATTGATTTTTTAAAGCAGGTAAGTCCTTAACCTTCATGATGTATGCAATTTTGTTATTTATTTAACGGTAGACTACAAAGTTGCACAAAAAAACAAACAAAAAGAAGACAGTAAAATTGTACAAATTATATTATTCAAGAGATTATCTATTTAAAAAAAATTCTAATAATTCAATTGAGAATATAAAGCAGTTAGAAACTTAACATGAGATTTTGTCTTTTTTGTCAGTTATTCAAAAGTAGATTTTGTCCCAAATCGAAACCTTGACATAAAGATAAAAACTTTAGGTTAAAATCCTCTTTTGGTCCTTGAGCTATTGCATGGACCCCTCGATTTGGTTCCTAAACTTAAAAAATCCTTGATTTGGTCCCCAATGTTTACCATTTTAGCTCAAACTTAGTTCTTCCATTAAAAATCTCATTACATGTGCTGTTAATTCATGGTTACATGATGATGTGGCAAAATATTAATACATGTGGAAGACAACATAACAAAAAATAATGACATGGAAAAAAAAAATAATAATATGAAAAATAAAACCTAAAAAATTCTTTCTTTCTTTGTTTTTCCTTCTCTTTCCTTTTTGTTTCCCCTTTCCCCTTGGAATCCAGCACTAAGATTCGAAAAAAAATTTTGTTTTTTTTTTTTTTGTGGATTTTGTTGTTTGATGATGAAGAAGAATTGATTGATGAAGAATGAAATTTCATTTCA